AAACCACTGAAACAAATTATGAAATTTCTCAAATAATTTTTTTCCAGACTTAAGTAGCTAAGTAAGAACGATACCCCTATAACGAAATAAAATACATGTACTTGATAATCTACAAAACAAGAATTTCATGGCTCTGCATATTTGACATGCTATCTTGATATGAGTTTAACCATTATATATATTGGATAGTTATGATGTATGTCACTGTGAATCAAGTCTTACGCCAATACGTCAATCACGATCTTATATAATACTGCTAAAGATAAATTGCTCTGTGCAAAGAAGTCTCACATATTTGGCATACACACTGTGGCTGTGTATAACTGAAGATTGTGCGTTTTTTAAATAATGAGCGTAATCTACTTGTTCTGGCTTTTTAATATTTTGAAGAATGGTTCAGCAAAAAAAATAATAAAACACTAGTTTACATTTTCTATAAATATTTGTACAGGGTAAATTAATTTGATGTTCACTCAGGTATAGTTTCAATAGTCCTCTAAATAGAATGACGAAAGAAGCTAAAATATAAATGACAAATGTTACCGCACGATATTCAATGTCGAACAGGGAACCATATCGTATGACAAGTTTAAACTGAAACCAGTTCCTCCGATGATCATGCCAAACAAATTCCATGATTGATGTCTATCACTTTCATATGCTTCTTCCTAGTGATCGAACAGCAGCACAATCTTTTGCCCATCGATTTAAAGTTCGAGTTAGAAATAGAGTTAGACTCCGAGTTTTAAAAAGATTAGCCACTGAAGTGACATAGTGTCTAGGGAAACGCAGCTAAATTTCTTATAATGGGTTCCTGACGTTTTAGCCAGTAAATGCCGTGTAATAGATGGAGACCGTATGGATCATACCTTAATATATACTAATATGTTCGTTGACTTGTGTTGATGGGAAGCTATCAGTCCGGGATTGCTCTGCGTTTTCGTTTTACTTTTTTAGACCACGGGTAGCTTCTCGTTGCCTTTTTTTTTGGACGCGTTGTTGGCAGTGGTGTCTAACAACATTTTTGGGACTTTATTGCATCTTAGGGACAAAAGCTGGTGAGTTTCTGATTTCAGATAAATCGTCTATCAAATCAAATCTAATGTTTTTATTTTCCATAAAGCTATTCAACCAACGAAACAGAGTTACTTAATTCTATTCAATATTTTCCCTTTTTTTAATGAAATATCTGATCCAAAGCACTACTGATATCACACGAAGATCCCAATAAAGGTTGATTATTTACGTCTAAGAGAATTCATGGTACAATTTTGTATAATGATGACTAGTATAGATTGATCCGGTAAAGAAGTAGAATCAATTTCGACTAATGTATTGCACACCAGGACCATTTTCAAAATCTCTTTCAATCACTACTTATATTCACAGCACATCTCCATGTGTGTACTTTGAGGTTGTAACAATTAATATCATGTCTAATTTCTAAACAGATGTCCAAAATGATTTATGATCGCATGAAAATATAGCTAAAACTGCATTTTTGACAGATTTTGGCAAACTTTAAGTATCTATAAAAACAATGTATAGGAACATTCTTTTTGGTCCAAACTAACATTCTTTAGGACATATTGCTATATATTACATATGGTTTGATTTTTCTTGTTTCTCGGCATTGTTTCCCAATATATATTTTGTATTTTTTCACTATTTTGACATATTGACTCGACGTTACTATTTTTCTAAAATGATATTGACTCCATGTTACTAAAAATAGTAACATCGATGCAATATCATTTCCAAATATAGCAACATCGAGTCAATATCATTTCCAAAAATAGCAACATCGAGCCAATATCATTTTCAAACTTACACTGTTTACGTATGTCATATATAATTTAAGGACTTTCACTCAGTCAATACGTTATATATGGACCTGTTAATTTATATTGAACATGTTAGATTATATTGAACCTCAGGCTTCGTCCTCGGTCAATATAATCTGAACAGGTCCATATAAAACGTATTGATCTCGTCAAAAGTACTTAATTGATAAATATCGTGAGGGTTGTGGCAACAAAATGGATAATATATGGCAAGCCGTTTTTACATTTATCCAATTTCAAGCTATATCTTATAGAGTTGATAATATTAGTTATCTTGGTGTAATCAGGGTTGTATAACACTTAACATTGGTGTTGTCGAATGGTTTATTATGCATTTTCAACACCGGTATAAAATTCTGTACACTCCTGATTGCACCAAGATAACAATTTATCTTCTACCGGGGAATAAAATTGAATAATTTTTATGAACTTCCAATTCACATTTTTTTCAACACCGATGTTGCTGTGCATTGTCAAATATTACATATAAAAATTAAATGGGGTGTGTGTGGGGGGGGGGGGGGAGGGAATTTTGGAAAACTTTTTGTTTTTTATTTTGGCAAAATTTTTATTTTTTGGAAATTTTGACAAAATTTTATCCTCGGTTGAACTGGGGTGGGGTGTTATTTACATCCGAGTAATTAACCAATCTGTATAAGAAATAAGATATATTTTAAAGTATATAAGAAATCTTGTATTCTTTATGAGATATCTTATTTAGATTATAAGCACTTACCGCCTAGGCATATTATTAACTTTTTTACCAATACACATAAAATTCTCGTCTATTTTTACTTACCAAGAAATATGGGCCCTGCTCTTAATTATCATTTGAATAAATGATCTCTAATTCGACTTCTCTTCTTGCGCCACCTGGTGTGGTGAATTAAACAAATAATGTTACACTTGTACCTGCATATGAAAAAAAAATTTGCACAGAAATTCAATCTAATTGAAATATCGATCAATCGTAACTTGCATATGAGTATAACGAAATCGGAGAAATACATATTTTAATTAGATTGCTACGACATACATTTATTAGCAAAATAGTGCCGTATGTATAAACGATAGAGAAATCAATGGAAAAAACCTGACTCTCGAAGGAATGTTTCTTATCCACGACTCTCCTGCATTATTCAGAATTATTAACACTAAAGAAAACGTTAAAAGTCAATATCAATATAAACAATAAGGAGATGTGGTATGATTGCCAATAAGAAAACATAAATATTATCAAGCAAAAACTTATGACTTTCAAGGGTGTGTCAAGAATTAGATTAAATTTGTAATTTTTCTATTTCGTTTTGATTAATGTAAAATTATGTTATGTAACGCAACTATATTATACCAAATTCAAAAAAGTAATACTGATATAACACAAAATTAATATCTGGGAATTATGGGCATTTGAAGTATGTTATTCAATGAATTTATACTACTTCGAATTGGTTTATATGTTACAGCTAAACAGTTTTTAGAACTTCAAAACACATGCGTAAATCAAAAATACTATAAATGTTTTCTAATGTTGTTTTTTTTTTTTATGAAACTACTGTTGAAATTAGAGAACTACGTCAGTGCGATTAAGAGTAAAGATGGAAAATCAAGATATCTGGGAATAATCGATAAATATGTTGGTCCCAGATGATATGAATGCTATTTTACAGTAACATCATGAAGGTTACTCATTATTTATCTTAATATTTCATAAGGTATAATTGTAATGTCTTGGAAATATATAAAAATATGACTATAGCATCATCTTCTTTGATGATTATTATTTATTCGAATATGATTACATCCCAAACATGACTACTTGACTGTTCGTGTTTGGGATGTAATCATATTCGAATAAATAATAATTCGTTTGCATGTAACTATAAAAAATAAATCTATGTGAAGAATGTCAAAATAATCAACAAGATTGATATCTTATTAATATTGAAATTAATCTTAGTTTTACAATAATATTATTATCCTGAAAAATGAAATAATAGAGGAGGCTGATTAATCCCATAAAGCACCTCGACCATTAGTTCCGTAAAATGTGAGGTACAGCATAATGTATGGTTTTCATATTCCATATTGCTCTAGTTTTTATAGTAATATGTAACAAGGAAATTGGGAGCTTCGCGTCTTATATAATTTGAAATTAGACTAATAGTAAGTTAATATAAATTTTATCACTTTAATTAACACAAACTTTTTAAGACTTTGGTAATGTAATAATACAACTTTTAATCCGACTGCTGTACACATAGATATAGTTAATATATCAATTAACGTGTGCAAATGATAGAAGACATTAGCATTACGTCTTTGGTTGCTATCGACCTATACACTAGTAACTAAGCACATCTACATCAAAAGAGAGATACCTGAATACGTTCAGTATCACTCTCCATTTTTAGGCAGATGCTGACGATTGTTGAGGAATCCTTAGTGGATGAGTCCATCTTCAGGGGTGTGCATTCACAACAATAAATGTTTTAAGTTTTTATTAATTATGCGCTAATTGTAATTGTCTTAGTCATAACTCTTTTTTTTTTTCTGTTGGTATTAGGTTAACACGTGACTAATACTTAATAATAGGTGACAAATGCAATTTGTATATCAATTAATATTTATAATTACTATTGATAGTTTGAAAAGGTAGATATGATCTTTTTACCGGAAATTACCCTCTTTCAAATGGATGGGGCCACGTATTGATGTACATGGTAACCGAGTACATTTTCCTTGTGGCATCGAAATTACTCTCGGCTTTGGATCTTTCTGTAATTTTGTAACTCTGAACAGTCGTAGTTTTTGTCTTTCGATTTTCACCCCTAGAAGTAAGTCTGCTTTGTATTGATATTGTTTTGTTGTTGTTGTTGCTTAAATTATTCTTATCATCTGAAGTTCTGTTTTGTAGAACTTGGATTCTAGCTGTGTTATATTTTGTAGCATGTTTTTTTTAGTGTACGCCACTGACATGTATGTGCTGACAAATTAAATTACCGGTTTATCTCAACTATGATAACAGGAATTTTATGATATGTCTTCAAATATATCTACAGGATTCATCAGCAGTTAATAAGTCTTCTGCTTTGCTATTCGTTAACCGTTTACCTGCCCACGTGCATCAGTACGTGTTTTCATGATAAAAGATGATGTTTTAGAATGTATGTACTCAGGCATTCTTATGTGTGTATCGCGCACACCTTATAAAGAACACAAGTTCCAAGGAGTATGAAGTGCTAGATTCGACTAAAAGCCTAGCTGGAGTGGCGGTGTTCTCCTCTCTTTTTCTGTGGATTTTAACTATTATTTCCTGCTTTTAGGATCTTTTCAAGGAAATATTACTTCTCTTTCTTGTATAGTCAGAAAGCACAAGGGGCACGATGTTATTCCCAGGAAACTCCAGATGGAACAAATATTTGGTATGTTTCCTTTCGAAATTGATTTCCTGACTTCCGGAAACTTTTTGGATTTGTATAGGAATAGTCTTCGAATTTAGTTGTGGAAAAGGATTAGTTCAGTATTTGAACATTGCTTTTGCTTGATAAAATTGAATATATGTGCTTGCTTGATTTTCTTTCGACAGCTAGTTTGCTTATTTTGCTTTCTAATGTGTATTCTTTATTGTTGGCAGGCAGGACCCTCAGATCGTTCATCAAACGAAATGACTGTCAGGAGGAGCAGGTATTCATCGGTGCCACCAGGATACTTCGCTGTAAGTAATTATTTATGTTTATGCGTGTTCTGGAATTTGCATGCGTTATTGTATAAAATTAACATTTTGGTGTATAAAAAATCAATGCAACACCTCTGGTTTCAGTTTAAAATCCGAGTAAAAAAGGAGACTGTATACATAATGTTCATCCCAACAATGTAAGTCCGGTCTATAGATTTTTTTGATTGGATTGTTTCATAAACTTACGATACTGAAACATTAGTTTTGAATCCAACTTATATTTACACGAATAATTCAGTCCCACCTCCGCCACAAGGCTCTCCTACTTGCAGTCACCGTAGAGCAGCGGAATATAACGACTGGATTATTTGGGTTAATATTAGATGGACATAACTTATATCAAGTATGCAAAACATTTTACAGGAATGCAAACTTTCATTTTTACTGATATATTGCCGCCTCATTTCTTTAGCTTAATTTTTCGAATGTCACTGCGTATTTTTTTGGTCCGCTCAACATACATTATACTTTTGAATTCGTATCAGCATATTTTTTTCTAAATGTATTAGTATGTAAATAATGTGAATATTATATGCATATTATCATGATTGTAATAGAAAATGCATATGTTTGGGAATAAACATATTCATTTTTTAATATGATAAGCTGATTAATGTTAGAAAAAAACAACACAAACACAAATTACCGCTACTGATTTTAACCAGTAATATTTGCCGTTGAACTTATAGAAAACACCTGGTTTTTATTCTCGATGTAATTCTCAACTTTTGTATCTATAGTGACATCATTTTGCCTTTAAAAGTATTTGGACATCCTGCATTTATCATGCTTTACCATGAAATCAGATTAAATTGCTGAAATACCCCCTTTCTAAATTATTTTAAAAAGCTACATGTATAATTTTGCATCCACCATAAAATCATGGTGTAAATTAGATAAATCACAAAAGTGTACCTAATACAAATAATTAACGGACAAAATTGAGATTAAATTGCTCGATATCAGGACAAGTTATTTGATTCATTGAATTGCATTTGAATATATTTTTCAGTTTTCTACAATTTAGACTTTGACATAAAACATATCAATTTTAATTTTAGTATTTGATCATTAAAACTTTGACATATTGTTATTATTATTCTTATCAATATCGACCATGATCAGATAGTATAAGATATAGAAGTTTTTACAGTAATTTTATTATCTTTATAGCTACTTTGGTAAAAGAAGTTTATCTGTATATGATGTCTGCACGTCATCATATACAAGTTTATACAATTCTGCTATTAAACCACACACTTCATCAGTTTTTTTATCGCAATAATGACATGTAATGAAGATTACACAATCAATCAAAACAATCAATTAATTAAGCTTTTAGTATTGGAAACATATGATAACTATTATTAAGATGAAACAAACAATAAATAGATAATATCTCTAGGTTTACTGTACAGTCATGTTTTGTTTTTATCTTAATCATAAGCCGCTCGCGCAAGAAGTATCCGATTACCAATTACTAAAAGTAGATACAACCACGGCCTTGCCAAATCTTCAAGGTGAAGTAGCTTCTTTGTAATTACTGGCATCAGCAGTTCGTAAACAGGCCATCAATTATTAATACAGACAAGTGAATGTACAACATACACATTTTAAAGTTTTTGTAAAACTGATTAAGTCTACAGGCGTAGTCGTTTATTAAGATTATAGGAAGTTGAATATGATTTATAAATAAGTCCATCACTCCTTGTCGATAACATCTTGCTATCCAAACTTTAACCTTTTTATAAAAAAAAAATAGTTTTTAACTTTGATATCTTCAAACTTTCTACTCATACGGTGACACTGAAATTTTTTAAAAGGATAAGGGTTAAGTAGGGTGGGATTGATACGGGTTAAGACAATTTGTGAGTGAAACATTTTTTTTCGAACGAACAAAAAATGTTAATAAATTTTGCAGGATTTCAATGGTCAAAGTATAGTGTTTTTACTATAAACTGCTGAAAGTTTTGTCTGAATCATGGGGGATGGAAAAAAATGTTTTGCACCCCAAGGACCAAACGACAAGTGAGGGATTGTTCCTCACACCAGTTCCACGGACTTTGAATTTATTTATTCTGTTTAAAAGTAAAACTACTCATAATGTTATAAGTGTTCTCAAATATTCAGGGCTCCAACCAGACCAATCGTGTGATTATAATTTCATTGAAGTTCGTCGCAACGTTATCAATTATATGAAAAAATGACATAAGTAAAACACAGTATAATTTAGCTACTCACTGAAACTAAGTTATTTATTCTGTTATATTTTAAAAGCACCATAGAATTATTTCAGTGTATGTAAACAAGTCAATTAATCAACAGGTTAATTTCAACGAATATATAGTATTTTTTTTTTACATCTTTGAACAGAGCACTAAAGGACATTCAGCACTAAGAAAATGGTCATATGCCCCAACATCCAGGGCTTCTCTATACGAGGATACCTATATCCCTGAGGTCATCAGACCAAGATCATATTATGGTAAGTTTTTAAACAGTGTATTACAAAATCATCCGTCTTTGCCCAGGCATTGACAAGTTAGAACGTTTATGTTTGTAGTGGCGTAGCTGCCATTGAGATAATTGCCTCGTCAAATTTTCGACAAAGAAGAATTAGAGAAGGATAAATAGAGATATACAGCGTGTTTATTCAATAGTGTAGAGTGAAATGACTACCTCAACCCTTTACACACGTGTTTATTCCATAGTGTAGAGTGAAATGACTACCCCAACCCTTTACACACGTGTTTATTCCACAGTGTAGAGTGAAATGACTACAGGAACTCGATTTTCGTTAAACGTATTGGAAAAACAAAACGAAAGTGTTTTTTTTTTTTCATAGCTTGAACTGGCAATCATTTTGATATTTAATTCTAATGAACTTTGCCATATGAATTGCGCGCTGTGTATCGCACATTGTACTCCAATGCTTAACGAAATATCTATATTAAAATCAAGTTGTCAATTTCACTAATAACATTTATTATGATAAAATGTTTTAAAATGTTTTTGTTACTCAGACACATCCAGAGAGGAGAATGAAATTAGAAGAGGTGTCAACGATGAGCTGATTTACACATCAAATTTAATGGACGACACCTATGATTTAGCATCAAAATCACGAAACAGAGACCAAATTCTGCTGAGGGACGCCACAAGGGCACTCGTAAGTTTTTACTTTTCAGAACTTATTTATAATTTATGATATATGATACAATTATATTTACAATTTTATAAAAACTATCATACAGTCTGAAACTTAATTAATACGGTTGCAAATGCTTTATCAAATTCCTAATCTGTATTACGTTATGTCACGTGAAAAACATCTACCTGGAATATATAATAAAGTTTTATGATATGGCTTTTCAATATCTTACACTGTATCAACCCTCAACCAATATAATCCCTCGAGCAGAGCTCTTGGGATTATATTGGTGTTTCGGGTTGATACGGGTGCGATATTGAAAAAGCCGTATGATATTCTCTATTTATTTTGATGTACACTTTTTACGATACACACTAAATTAGGGTTTTGAGCCATATTTCTCCGTTTGTTGAACATTAAAATGAGATATTGGACCGGGGCATGATCACGTATTGACACATTTTTTCTTGTTTTCAAAGGCCCCGTTACAATTCACATTAGACTGGTGAATCTATTTAAGTATAATTTTGTTATGTTTCATTTGCATAGTTGTCGGTCCGCGGTAGCCTTTGACCAATGCCTAAGCCATAATAAAAAAATAATTCACACCATAATTCTGTAGTTCGGTAGTTCAAACATTTCTTATCTGTCTAAATATTTGTATAGAAGATAAAACAATAACCGCGGTATGTCATCATTTAAACAAATTTTTTTTCTATAAAAAATTAAAGTCTAATTATTTTCTGCTTTACCTGAAGTTTCTAATAGGGAACGTTGAGGAAAACTTTTTGTCCCCCACGTAACGCTTTGCGGGGGACATGGAAATACCGGGCGTTCATCCGTCTGTCCGTCCGGTCTTATTAGCGCTCTCACGGGTACAATTCTTGTCAGATTTTTATAAAACTTATATGTTAATATCAGCAATATCTTGGACAAGTTCTATAATTTAGCAATATCTCGGACAAGTTCTATATTGGTGGACGATCGACTTTTTTAAAAAGATTTATGCCCCTTGGAAATATAAAATATGTGCAACGCGGGGAACATTGGAACTCTTATAACTCTTTCATTTTTAAATGTTTAGAAATGTAGTATTTTCACTGGATGAAAGTCTCTTAAGTATTTGTTGAAAAATTCCACACTATTAATCTTATTTTACAAGCCTCTAATATTTTTCGAACTTGTGTAGGAAATTAGCATGAAATACACGAAAACTATTTGTATTTTGTTAAGAAAAGTAATCTTAGGCGAAGATATCTTATAGATACTAATAAAATATAATGATATAGTGTGTGTACATGATTGTGGAAACGATTAAAGGAAAACCGATGTAGTTGTTTACAAGATGTTCTGGGGTTATTGTTTTTTTCTTTTGGCAAAACTGCAATTCGTGATAATATATTATTTACTTAAAATTGGCAGAATTCAGCGATCTATTGGATCTGTTCTTAGAGTCAACACTTACAACCCACTGAGTATGTAATATCAATGGCAATCTGCCACAAATATGAATTGATACATCAGATTGATTTACACAAAATGCGTCTGTTTTACATATTCCAATCAGACTTTTCTATCATAGGTTGTAAACTATTTAAATGTAATAAAAAGATACTCTTACACGTAGTTCTGACACAATGTGTTTATTAAAAGATACGAGTTCATATTATCCTTTTGTTTTTATTTTGATTTCATAATTATACAACGGACATATGGCAGGCCGTTTTATTGTTTCATGGACCCAGTTCAATCAACACCCCTCATTATGTTTGTTGTTTTTCCTTCGTAAACATTTTAATTTTAAATATAGAGTTGGCCTATGATTTGGTTTTTTTGAAAAAGAACAAAATCGTTACTATAAAACAAAATCTTCGTCCTACAGATAATTATCTGTGTTGAACGTTGATCGGATGTTTGGTTAAGATAAAAATAAAATCATATTTCTGAAAAAGCAGCATTTAAAGGATGAGGTCTTTGTCTCCGGCTTTATAAACAAAATGTCAATTTTTAAAGGTTGTTGACACATATGTTGAAACCCTGTCCTTCTTGACACATATGTTGAAACCCTGTCCTTCTTGACACATATGTTGAAACCCTGTCCTTCTTGACACATATGTTGAAACCCTGTCCTTCTTGAAAGTGAGATAAAGTCCAACCAATATACATAAGTGAAATACATGCCAACCAGGTTCTATATTCCTTGTTTTATTTTTCGAATAGCAATTGGGCCGTAGGTAATGATCGTTTGCAAAGCTTATTTTAAAATGAACTAAGTTGGGTTTTTTTGGAGGGGAGAAGGGGGTTATATATACTATTGGTGTTGCTGTGCGTTCCATGTTATAATATGACATCTGTATTTTGCATAACATTGAAGCTCCTATTTGGTATGAAACTTCTATACGATTTGCCTAATCCCTTCTGCAAACTTGAAAAAAAACCACTTCATGTTTGCAAAAATATTCTTTAGTCACTGCCTTTCCTTGCGAAATGTATATAGCGATCATTTTCAACATATGTCAACAACTTTTAAAGATTAGAACATTTAAACATTTACAAAGCCAAAGTCAGGGATAATCCTGCTCTCTTTGACATTAAGATTGTACTTTCTTGAAGCACCAATATCTAATCATCAAATTGAGATTAAAAAATGCTTCAAGATAGTTCATATTAATGTCTTCAGGTACGGACAGGAACATAGTTTACTTATATTACCATAACAAAAATGCTGACCTTGTTTAGAAGGACTGATTGCTCTTTTTGATAAGCTACTAGTTCTCAAAAAATCTCACCTAGAGTAAATATATCTCAAACATCACAGTATAGTATTTAGGCCGCATTCCGAGCAATTTCCATCTCATAGGCCAACCCAACAACACAACATGAATATTAAATTTATACGGAATCAATCACATATTCATGCAGCCTTCGACGATGCCTGCTAGCCAAGATAAGAAGACTGCTTCTCTCACTCCAGCTAGGCGTTTTTCACCCCGCTCGACGTCTTCGATAACACCATCTTTTACAAAGAAACCAACTGCTTATCCACGACTTGCCCCGCCATTATATAGAGGAACAACTAACGTACAGCCGTTGGGCATATTAACAAAGCTTGATTGGACGTCCCCATTACAAAAGTACCAAAGTCCCGAGCTATATAACGGAGACGATATGTCGGAAATCTCCTCATACACGACCCCAACACAGAGTGAAAGATCCTCCCCTGAACGAGATGACGGGACTGTGCCACGTAGATATAAAGCACGAAGATTACCACATAGAAAAGTTGGTAATTACTATAAGAAATTAGTGCAAAGACGAGAGGCACGCCCAGGAACAAATCCAAAATATTATCCTTATTTAGATGTTGAATCTATTGCATCGAATGATGCTGGTGACGTCGTATCTAACGGTGAGTATTATGATGACGACGACTACCAGAGTGTCACTGATGGCGGGGAGGGGGATTATTATTATGTAAACAGAGAAAGGTCACCTTCTCCAGTTGAATATATCCCCTTTGGGCCACGCAGTAGAATGAATTTTGATAGTGATGATTATAAATGTCAAGTTCCGAGTATGACCGATTTTGCTGTATCACATTATATTCCGTCCAAAAAGGAACCAGATTTTGATCCGGACAAATCACGAATAAAAGACGACCTTGTATTTCACGACGTTGTCGCACACACAGCCCACAAGGCTCGCGAAGCATTAAAACATGTGGATTTAGATCAGTATGATAATGCTAGTTTGGTAATAAGCGTGGAAGGTGAATATAAAGATCCCATTAAGGGAGAAAATATGGGATTTCACTACATAGCACGTCCACTTACACTAAAGGGTCCAATGCTTGCCGGTCCGGCGACATATGCATCAACTGCATCTGATTCTGCATTCAGTAGGTATATGGATGACTCGAGAGCATTCAGAGCAGAAGTAAGAAATAGACTTGAGACTGGCTATAAAACCTTAGGCGAGGTTGCATCAAAATATAAGAGTCATTCATATCCAATCATTACATCTTCTCATAGAAATTTTTCACGGGCTTTATCACCGGTACGAAGTTCGTCACATATTCCTAGATGTTCCTCACCTGTGCGATATTCATCTGAGTCTTTACCCATTAGTAATCTACGAAAACGCCTACAGGACATTGAAAACAGGTTTAAAGCAAGCGGGTATGGAAAACGCCTAGACCCGGACATACCTGATACATTGGTGGTATACCCTGTATCACAAAAAGAAAGCATAAAGGCTCTCAACGACCATTTACCTGGTCACACTAACACCGTGGAACTGTATCAAGGAAGTGCAAAAGGCACTGAACTGTCAACTTTGGAAAAAATCAATATCAAGGTAACTGGGTATGACCAGACCATTGCCTTGTTTATACCATTTATATTTGCATTTCTAACTAGAAATAGTATAAAAGCACGATGTCTATAATATACAGGTTTTGAGTGTTTTTACTCCACCTTTTCATAGAGCACGCATAACCTCGAATGATGAGTGACCAAATCTCCCAGATAGTTTTCAAGTATAACCTCGTATGAGTTCCAAATTACCTAGAGAGTTCCCTAGAACGTTGGTGGACCTTATTTTAATTTCCTATATCTTTTAACACATATATATATATCAGTACCAAAATATTCCCCTGAAGAATAATGAAATCTTCTTTCGAATTTGAATTCATTGTGTTCTTTTTGGCGGAACTTTTCTAAAATGTATCCAATACAATTTGTTAAAATTAGAATATGGAGTAGTAGATCTGAATGTATGTCTAACTAGTTTTGTTTCGTGCTGCTTATTCTAATTCGAACAGAAGGTTGCTTGAATAAGCAACATCCATAAACGCCCATGAGAATGAACAGAATTAGGTTTATTTTCACTGAAAGAACGGTTGACTGGGTCCGTGTTTCAATACCTGCCTTAAATGTGTACAAAAATTCATTGATTTTACGGTAAGGTATATTTTTCAGTATCTGAATGTTACCATGGTTACTAGTATTTTTTTATATTTTCCCTCCTTTGGTAACAGGTTGACACAGAGACATATGCATCACCTAGATCCTCAGTGACTTCAAATCGTCTACGTGCAACATCGGTTGTCAACAGACCCGCGCCACTGACAAGCCGAGCAGTATCCTGCCCTCCTACTTCCCGACGTTCCAACCAGGTAGTTGTTATTCTAAATAGACCTGCTTTTCAAGGACGCTCCCGTGTCTTTTATGCCAAGTCAGCGGCCTCGGCTGTAAGGGAGCAGTCACTACCACCGATTAATTTCGCCCAAAAGAGAGTTCTTTCCCCTATGGAACAACTGGAAAGACGAGTTGCTGCCAGAAGACTCATCAATACAGTTGCTGGTCCATTTTTGCTTCCAAAGTACCATCCTTACCAGTCAATGTACCAGCCTTATATATCAATGTATCGACCCACGTATATGAGTCGGTACCATGCTACTTTAAAAGATGTTATACCACACAGATACCCAAGTGGGGGCATGCCATCATCTTTAAAACGCAAAAAATATAGAAAGGTGATAAAAAAATATTTTCACCTGCATTCGATTGGTTTTTGGAATTATTGTTATATTTGTCAACGTAAATACATCAATATTAAAGGGTGGACTTGACTTGTAAGTTTGTTATGGAGCAAGTCAAACCAGCCTTTTCCAGAACTGCAGACCCATTCAGCCGTGGCTTTCTGGCTTTTTTGTGTTGAGCAATTCCTTGTTGTAATGTGAATTCAATTTTTAAAAGTAATAATTTCTGTCTTTTGTCAAATGCTTTAAACGTATTGCTACAGTTGATTCTCATGGGAAAGACATGCGCGCGTGTTTTGCATTGCTTATTCAAGCCAACTAACTCACCCTTTTAGATTCTTCATTTTCAGATAAGCATGCGTGTTGTCACTCTTGAATAGCAAAGCATGATGGGACTACTGCTGGACATGACATTGCTGTTATATTTTGGTATGGCATGATGATTTTGTTGCATGTAATTTTTATTCTTCTATCTGTCTCTTTCACTTATTTGAATTACAAACATTTGAATTAAAGTAAAGGGAATATATCTGAAGTTTTAAAAGTAATTATATGTCATAGATACAGAAATATAGTATTATTCGAGTATGGCCTCAGATATGTAGTAGTATTCAAGTTTAATCTCAAATATGTAGTTTTATATAAGTAAAATGTGTATTCTTTTTATGGAATAAAAGCCAGAATAATGTGTAACTTGATGATTATTAACAAAGATAAAGGAGTTTATGGTTTTCGAACCGTTAAGATAAATGTTTTAAGGATGTTCGCTACTCGAATCTAATTTGTATCTGTGCTGGTTTTACGCTAGCAATGCTTTAAATGATGTTCGAAGTGGCCCCTATGTAGTATTATTTAAATGCATATAACATACGAAAATTCCGATATTTTTTATTCCATCAATATTTATATCGTACAATTTGGCATTTCATTCTCGGAATACATTCTTAATATAATACCGGTATCTGAAGAGACATTCTTGCAAAATGTTATTTTTGAAAATGCGTTTATTGTAAAAAAAAAAAAAAAAAAAAAAAAACATGGCTTTTAATGTTTTCCAAATAATTTTATTATTTTTTAACAATGTTGCATTAAACAATGAAGAAATATGTAGCGAACATCTTAAACAGTGAAGAGACAGAAACACTTTCCTTCCTTGGTTATCTACCCTTACCCTCATAATTATATCATTATAAACAGGCTGCACTTGTCGGAAATAAAGTCGAGATTTCAACCCCACACCGAAGAAGGCCAAAGTCCACATATGCTGCTAATAAAATGAGGGAGCTGAAAAGAGAGGAACGTGAATATGAGGTAAATTAGTGTCCAATCAAACCAACAATAGAAGATTTAAAGATTTTAACTGAAAACCCAGTTGATTCCTTGACTTTTCTGAAGCTCAGAAGGTGTCATTTCATTCATTGCAGTTTATCCTCATTTTTATGCTGTAGTCTTATGAGGTATGAGAATATAGGCATTTATAACTTCCATGCATAATCTGAATGACATATTACTTATTCAAGGTTTGAGAGTGTTCAGTTTACCTTAAGAATAAATTCAGTCCGGTTTTTTGTTAATTTTCGATTTCCAAATCAATTGGTCAAGTTAATTCCCTGTCCTTTAACTATAGTAGCATAGAATACTGTCTAATGTTTTATTCCAATCCTTAATTCCAATATTAGCATCTGAGTTTTTGTATAAGCTAGTTCTAGAGTGATTATATTAGAGTTTCCTAGTTTTCTTCTCTATATTGCATGTATAACTTTTACTGGTACACTGAGTCTCACGTTATCTACTTAAATTGATCACTAAAAGTGAAAAAAGGTGCGTCTTTAATTTTAAATGGAACATGAAGTAGATTTTTCCACGATTTGGATAATAGAGAAATATGCTGGATTAGAAAATATGCCTATATCATGATATTATCGCGTTTTATTTGTGAAACCTCATTCTTTGGATACAAACATCCAAACATAACGAATTTTGAGAAACGTTTTATTTCATGCAAGCTGACTTTCATTGTTCTAAGATAAGGATGTATTTATTAAGAGCTTTAGAATCCAAAATGAACGAGGACCACCTCCGGGTGCGGGATTTTCTCGCTGCGTTGAAGACCCATTGGTGGCCTCCGGTTGTTGTCTGCTCTTTGACATATTCCCCATTTCCATTCTCAATTTTAGTATGTCAAAATTCTTGTAATAAGTATCGGATGTTTGCAACCCAAGTAAATAAAGGTAATAAGTTCATTAACTTTATCTTCCGAACTTTTATTGGTCTTTTCTAAGCAACTAGATCAAGACGGATTTGTTGCGGGTATCGAAATATGGTATATGTAACTTTTAGGTTATACTTTCCTAAATATAACAAATTAAATATTCTGCAGATAGAAGTATAAAGGTCTATAATGCACGTAAACATCGCACAATTTCAATAATTAAACTTTGAATTACATTTCTCGTCACCCTGTCCAACAAATTTGTAAACCAAAAATTTCAGTTTAGCAACATATCTAGTTTTCAAAACTTTTTTAAAAGGACTTCGATAAAAATAGAAATTTGATTATTGAAAAATATACGTATATTCACTACATTTGTACTTTTATTTTTTGGATATTTAATTTCCCATAATTTATCTCGAGAGTATACACGTTGATTATAAATCGTGTTGTGGTACTAGTATTCATATACAGTTTCACTTGGTCTAGATGCAAAGGTAACCTTTGTAATAATACAAGTGGGGTGGTTTTTAAATTCGGTATCCCATTAAACGTATATCGAACAGGGCGCAGGACATTTTAGCGAAAATTAAAAACTACCAGTAGACATTGTAGCCCCGTCATTTCGTCAATTTTAGCGCCGCTTTCATCAATACCCATTTATTTCCGATAGCCCGTACTTACAGGGTATAATTTTACTGATGTTGGTTTAGTTTAACGTAGAAATAAATGCTGTTCAAACATATCAAACAAAAGGTTTAATATGTGACGAATTCCTTTATCGGATCCACATCGAAAAAATTTAAAAGGCTTAAAAGAAATACAAGAAGATTAGGGGAAGGAACAGTTCTTACTTTAATTATTTGGTCAATACTTTATAGATTTATTTTTCATTATGTTTAAGTTTGAACGTTCCTGATGAAGGTAAATCCAGACAAAGTTTCAGACGCACGAAATTTTCAAATTGTTTTTATTCGTTAGTACTACATCGAAATGTGTTTATGAACCTAACCTTAAACGAGACCAGTGTAGCATGAAAAAGTAATAGCATTGCCCATTAGTGTACATATTAACTGGAGGAGGACTTTTTCAGGTTGAAGCTATTCCAACACAAATAACAACAGGATTAAAAGCTACTACTGTGTCAGTGAGTATTGAATCAGTGTCACTGCAGTTAAAACGATTAAAGTCAGAATATTACAAATCTATTGGGTTTTTTTTGTTATTGGAGACAGCATTTTTCAACTTATGATTTTAGGATTTTGTAGCTTCAATATTCCTGAGTACTGTTATATTTATGTCAAAGACAAGTTTTGCTTTATATCTCGCCCATTTTTATCGATTTCAATTCTATATTTAAAATTAATATTATTATATTTCTTAATAAGTAAAGATTGATCGAAAAGCTTGAAAGTAAATGATTATTTGTGACGATAATTTGTAATTTTCTGACAGATAATCTGTTTTTTGTTTTTTGCTGTTTTCATCATCATTATCATCTAAGTGTAATCATTATAAAAACGAAAGCACTTGTTTCTGAATATCAGCATGGCTTTTAGCGTTTAATGGCTTTTGGCAATGCAATATGTTGCCAAACCCATGAGATGCGCTTGTCACAATGCTATTGTCTTTCCACATGACTCCGTTAAATGACACGGGGGCAAATACATATTATCATATATCTTGTCGTGTTTGCTTGCACGCATGTGATTTGTTTATTGAAGAAGAATTGATGCACCACAAGTGGCAGTCAATACCTTTAACTCCAAATGTTTCAGCCACTCTACGGTGGAAAGTCACACTGGGATGAAGAGGGCAAAGTAACAAAACCAAAAAACCTCATGTCATGGAAGGTTTGTATACTTTTTATTTCAAATGTTTTGTGTTTCATTTAATAGTTTATCTCCTTGCATAGTAGTTTGCCTTAAAGCTTCGTCTTTTTTTATAAAGGTACCCTAGTTATTAAAAGATGCTACATGTACACTCTTCTATTTTCCAGTGAGTTAACCTCAGACGATTATATTATAAAAATAGCTGTAACATTTGTTTAATTCAAAATTTAATTCCACATAACCAGGTACCTTTGTGAAAATAATAAAATGCTTTGTAATTAAGGGTTGTTTAGTGACAAATTATTTAGTATTACCTATATAAAAACGACAAGAGATTATGTTGAAAATAGTTTGACCTTAATTTAACATGTTTCATTAATAACCCTTATCGGCAGCTTGTTAGATGCTTAGCTTTTATACCTTTTATGCTCTTTGTATATGTTTTCCTTTTCTAAGTTATTTGAAAAGATAATGTTTTGTTACTCAAAGGTTACGATGCAGCAGTTACATTTCGGTTAGTTTAAACATATTTTATTGTTCAAAGGGACAAATGGATCAGACAAAAGTTTTTCAATTTAGTAACGTCTTCTCATGATCATAAACTTCTTTCTAAAATTCGGTTAAGGAATCTACAAATGAGAAACTACTCCTTTTGTTACTGATACATAGTCAACTCATTATTTTTAACGTTATCGGATAAAGGATGATTTTATAGTTTTTTTTTGCAAATTTTGTCGTTCCTTATGAGCTATGAACACATGTGCATACATATTATAATCTACCGAACAGGAAGACATATACTATTTAGCAATAATCACCTTTCTTTATCTTTTAAAATTTTATAGGATTTTCCTTCTTTACGTAATTAGCATGCACTTTATAAAATTAGATAATGCGAAACATAGTTGCTACCCCGGAAAAAAGAAATTAATATTTCATTTCATTTTTTTTTCGTTTTTAAAGATACTTCCGTATGTTTTATCGTTAAAATCTATCTAATAAAATTATTAAATAGTAATTTTTAGTTTTCAAAAAAATGATCTTAGTTTTCTCGACTTATCTTATTCATATATAAATCAAATAGATAAAATACACACTAAAATACAATAAAAATAAGAAAGACATCTAGAGGGCAACATAAAAATAAGAAGATGTGATATGATTGACAATGAATGAGAAGACTCTCCACCAAACACCAAATGCCTTGGACGTAAGCAACTATAGGTCACCGTACGGCCTTCAACAATGATCAAAACCCAAGACGCATAACATATGATCTTAAGCAATTAGTAGGTGTTAATAACGTGTTTAAAGCTCAAATTATGCCTACGTCTGTGTACAATCTGGAAATGCAACAAACTAACAGAGATTTGCTATCTACACCAGACTCTATTAAGGACAAAACACACTTACATATAAACAAAGGCAACACTAAACGAGGCTCCTGTAGTTAGTTTAGCGCGTTAACATATGGTGGGATTTAACCAGATTTCATTTTAATACTCAACTTTCCCTGTTACAGAAGATGCACAGAAGAACGAACAAGTTCAGAAATCAGTCAAATCGATGAAAATAACGATAAAACAGAGATACACGAAAATAATATTAAATAATACTTTTTAAAACAATGCTCAAGTTACAGAAAGCTAGTTTAATGTGCTTAAGATGCTGATACAAAAATGTTGACTTTTTACGAATGTCTTTTAGAAGATGTTGCATTGGTTTTTCTCTTGGATTTTCGGCCATCATAATTTTTATTTGTGACAAAGCTACTTCGATACAACTTTTCGTCGCTACGTATATAAACAAGCCCCTAAATCCTACCATACTAAGCATACCCAATAAAAGTCTTAAGTAAAATAATAGTCAAGAATTAATTAACAGATTTTATACCGAGTGGTGGTGTGTGCATGACCCCAATTTCTTATAGTAATCAATTTTATTTACTTATTCTTTCTTCCGGATTTTTATCCAAACGTTATAATTTTTGCACTGTGAAAGAGGAAATCAGTTGTTTTTTTTTTTAAGTTTCTTAAGGACTATTTTTTCACATTATTTGTGTTTTAGTTGATAAACTAAATTACGTCAAATAATTTTCTATAATAGATAATCTTAAAATTAAATTACTTCAAGTAATTCCATGCACAGCTTTTAAAACACAAGGCATGATAGTATGATCCAGCTTTGTTCAATGTTTCCAGTATCGCATTGAATCCCGTGTTCCTCCTGGTGATTACTTTTTCCCCATAAAGACGATAGGTCATGTACGAGACAAGCTTCTTCACGTTAAGGAACAGATGGACCGCCATAAACAACTTATGGATAGATATCTACCTGACGAGGACTCACAGACTGACGTAAAAACAAAAATTATGAATATGTATGTAGACATGGAACAACATAATCCTTAGTAAGTTTTATGCATCAAAGAGAACTGATGCAGTCTCAGGTTTGGAGTGAAATGTAGCTAGAGCGAATGCTTGTGTGATTTCTCTGTTTTTGCTGCTTAGATAGCTGAATGTTTTGCTTTGAAGCTTGTAGACAAAGCTATTCCTCATTAAGATATTCATCAAATAAAGGGTCTTTTTTTTAGTTTTAGGACAACAATGAACGTATCAAGAAGCGTGTCCGATTAAGGTACAAAGTGTGAATTCCTTTAACATAATACCATTCATGAATACCCTCTTTTAAATTCAGTCTGGCGTGTTTCCTATTTAGAAGTGGTTACACATTATTTGTAACAATTTCCTATATTATACAAAGTAACCCTTCTTACTATACTGTTTTATCCCTTTTTCTTCAACTATTTTTAAGAGAAAAATGAATCCTCAATTCGTTCTTCAATATATTCGATATACTTTAATATCAAATTGGAATAATTCTTCTCTTAAATATCTATTATTTGTTCTATGCTTATTATTGTCATTTTCGAATGTTAAACATATGATAAAATTTAAGCACCATTTGTAATTGCTAGTTAAATCTTGAGTTGTAGCGTAGATCTGAATGATTAGACTAGAATCTAAAGGGTAAAATAATGCATTTCATTAATTTTTTGTTGTTAGAGTAGCAATTTGTTTTACATATAAATAGTTCAAAATTTTTCGTTTTTGCTTGATATGAAAATTTTTAAATCATTGGGGCAATTAAACACTTCAATGTATAAGGCGATGTAAGAAAGATTTTTCATTTCCTTCTGAAAAAAGATATTGTAGTCTACCTCAATATTCCTTAATAAATTTTGTTTTAAAACTTACAGGCATCAATCATGTGTCATCTTCTTTAAAGTCATCAGATTTGAATTCAATGCTTTATTGCATGGCATTAAGATATTTTTCTTGATGTGTAGTCTTTTCAGAGGAAGGGAAGGTTTAATAACAACAAAATCATGTGAAAATTCACCACCCAGTAGCATTCTGCGATCTCCAACGCCACGTAGGGCTGCCGTAAGTTATGCCTCTGTTTGTCGTAAAGGGCGTCTTCTCACATTTCACATTTTCGAAAACAAGAATGATAGCATGTACTATTTAAAAAAATATATTTAAAATTGTGACCAAGACGCCCTTTCTTTATGTTTGTACACTGTATTAGTAACAAGTAGACACTGTGACGCAACACACAAAGCCAGAATGCATACTACAGGTTAGATCAACGTTAATGCGCTAGGTAAAAGCTGTCAGATACAAGTGCTTTCGTTGATATATTCAAATCAACACATTTGAAGTCATTTTCATGATCAAAATCACTAATTACATTTTATTCATTCCACTAACATACTTTAAATGTTGTGCGAAAATATTATTCTTTGCTTTTCATTGTCTGTTGCTTGAATTATAGAATTTTAATAAGTGGTAATAGAGGCTGAGATAATTCCATGAAATCTATTTTTGACTAATCGACTTTTTATCGGTTTCTTAAAGTACAAAAAAATAATTCATATGTTAAGAATGTAATAAGACTCATATGGTTCTTTTCAACGCAGCCTACTGCAACGATAAAACCTTCAGATGGTTATCAGCCGATGTCCGATGTCCGTCGACGAGTAAGGAGGGTCATTTGTAAGAATAGAGGAAATCCACGATTTTTCAAGACTGACTGAACATTGTTGTTGGTACGGGTGCTACAGTAATATAGAGGAATCTTGCACATGTAGACTATAGAACTCCATATACCCATATATTCAGATAGTTTAATACTTAACAATTATATTCTGTACTGTATAGATTCTGCATTGTTTTGGAACACTCTAAATAATGCAGTGAAGAACGGTTGTATTATTTCCCGGTTTGACCGATACAAAACTCTTATATCTAACATTCACGCCCAATATTGTTTGTCTTATGCATTTATCCTTATCTTTCCAACTTGAAAATAAAGATTGGTAGTTCCTAAACTTGGTGTGACCTTTAATTTCACCGTATGAAGCACCTCTATTTTCTCAATCTTATATTTTCTTAGTAACATTTTAAGTTATATTATCCCATATTCCGGTAAAATACTTGAATGTACCGTGAACACCGCATGTATCTCTTATATCTTTTGACTACTAATACTTTTAAGTCAAATATAAATAGTAAAGAATGGATATGGGGTATTGTGTCATGGCACAAAGTCCCTACATGCACTTAGCAAAACCAATATCAAAGGATCAGTGTTTTATTAATGTTTTTATCTAAAAGTCATCGCGCAGCCTCCAACATTGAGCAATATCGCACGCCTATTTTCAAGTTTAGTACGGTCCGCAGCAGCGGATTGACACACTTTTTGGCTATATTTCTATAACGTTACGCATAAACCTGTACTTTACGCTCAAATTATGCTGAAAGAGTTCGATAGTGATCATTTATGAAAAGAGGGAATTGAGAAATCTTTTCTGTCATTGATGTCATAGAAGAACCTCAAATTGAAGAACCAAACGTTTTTATCTCAAAACAACTTAATACCATCTGATCAATCTTTATAATAAAAGATAATATGCTGATGGCAACGCTGACAGTAATCTCAAACCAATAAATGATCGCTTTACGTTTAACTTTGATTTTTAATAGTTTGATGCTCGTAGCAACGCCGATACATGTGGTGTCGAAAAGGGGGCGGGTATTCAAGTCTATATTGAAATTGATTTGTTTTCTGTTTGCCCATATGCTCATTTCAAAAAGGTTAAAAGTTATTTGACTGACTTGGTGCAAGCATATAAAATGTTTATAATTCAATCAAGTTTTCAGTATATCTTTGCATGATGTAGTGTTTGTCAGGTATCTGATCTGATTAGATAGTGGGCACGTATGTCCAATTTTCCCATCACGTATAAAACTCGCAGGATAATTGTTAAAATGATTTTAAATTTTAACATGGTTACAGTTTCTCTTTAAACAATGAAGCTGTGACAACAGCTGGTGCATTTCTGAATATATAATGAAAGTGAATAAAAAATGCTTAAATGTGCTTTTAAACTAGTTTTAATTCATATTTGCAAATTTGAGTGTCTCATAAATGGCTAAGAATGTCACTACAGTTTAAAAAATATTTTTTTAAATGCACAAATAGATTTATATATCAATTACGGACTTCCTTCAATAAAAATTATACCAAACAGATTTAAAACCTGTTTTTAAGTCCGAATAATATTTTTGAATTATGAAAAGGTAAACTAATGTTGAAAAATGTTTAAATGTAATGTTTAGACTCCTGAATATCCCATTTGTATCCGGATCCACATCCTTTCTGGTGTTGACTCTATGAGCGAGAAAAATAATGAGGGTTGTCCATACCCTTTTCATTAAGAATTACAAATTTCACTTGCCAGAGTTAAATTTAAGACCAAGGACATTATTAGAATGTGAATGTTGTGTCTCCACTAGATCATTGCTGTGTTCACTCACTGTAACGTCTCATTGTATAATCACATGTGGATATAATAACCGCTCTTTTTCATGTTTATTGCATAAAAACAATGATAATTTCATATTCTTAAGTTACATTTTGTATTATACTCTATATTGCTTCTAATGAATGAAATATTTATGATATATTGTAATCATATATGCATACACCATTAACATATGATTTGTTTCTGTTAATTATGATTTAGGAGTAACATATCCACTGAAAATATATATCTTTTTTCTTGTTGGAACATAGTCTTTGAGACTGTTTATTTATTCTTTGAAAATTTAAATTGAACTAATAATATGTTATATTTATCAAATATATTCAAGATTTTTGGTATCCATCATGCTTTTTCACTGAAAGACATCAAAGTAAATTTCACATATTGTTTTTGAATGCAAGTCTTAATCATATCTTCATGTTTTATCAGAGTATGAGATACTGAGACGGGAGCGTTCAAAGGACATTTCGATAATATCTGGAAGGAGGAGCCAATCACCTAGGACATTTCATTGAAACTGCCATAAACACATCTTTAAGCAGCGATTTCTGACTTTAAAAACTTTTGGATGTAATTTATTTGTGCTTTTATCTGTATTGCCCTGTCTCTCGTTTAAAAATGTGTGCTTACGTTGATACACAAAACACTGATGTTCAGAAGATGTTCTTTTTGTACAAGGACACATTTCGATATGAAGACGGGACAATTATCAAGCGAAGTGAACCGTATCAATAAAAAATTAGAAAATGCGACTGAAATTAACTGTAAATTAGATAAGATTATATTATAACTTAAGAATATATTGTACAAAATGGATATATTATATATTTATTTATAAGATTTAACTTCTGATATCAATTTAATATATTTTAATAAACAAATGTTATACGTATATGTTTTAAAACTTCTGTGATACTGTAGTGTTACTGTCACTTGCGGTTTGTTGGTCTAATGACAACTATTGTACGAAAGAATTGCTATATTAAATCGTCTTTTGCGTATTTATTTGTTGTCATGTCTTCAAAAAAAGGAATTTGTCAACACACTAAAACACAATTGATACAGAAAAATGTAGCTTTCTTATGAAATTTTCAACAGATCTAATGATAAGGTTTGACAGTTATTATGACTGATTTGTTGATTGAATGCAGTACAGGAAACAAAACCCTATCGGATTGTGTTGATAAATTTTGTAATATAAGGAAAATATTCCTACTATAAGGTATCCGTATCGTAATGTAAATAATGGTATCATAAGGGAATATAATGTATCTTGAACATGAGTTCGTATTACAAATCCGATGTATATACATATGTTGTCTCCGTTAGAATCCTGTACAAGGTGTGACAGCTGAGTCGATAGAACAGGCATCTCCTGCCATGCTTGGTGCATAAATCTGGGATGTATTTAAAAAAAACATTCATTGTCCCATTTAAAGTTTAAAATTGATTACTAGTAGTTTGTATACAAAAACACTAAGCAAATTGTATAGTACAAATATTTTGAATGCGGCGTTTGATGATGGTTGGGAAAAGTATGAAGTATGTTTTACAGTTTATTGACTCAATTACTAGTTATAACAGTGATCTGTTATATACTAATCAACTGGGACATACATAGTCTTTTTTCGAAATGTCTCGAAAAATAACTCCAAAATCCACAAGGATTAGGTAACAGTTGCAGGTTGGCCAATTTTTACCACCTTTCAAAATGTTTAATATATTATTGCGAACCCAATGAAAGTTTTCCACAGTGCCATCTCTATCTTGACCAGGTATTTAAACATTTGTAAGTTCACCTGTCCTATTGAATGAATACAATAGCTATTTTTCTCTGTGTAGTTTATTCACTGGGACCTTTAAATTTCTTCTAAAGAAATCTATCACTCATTGATTAATTTACCTGAGGAAAAAATTTTTCTTATATGTAGACAAAAATACTTTTTTTATACTCATTAACTGCGTGTGATGATGTATATATTCAATATTAATTATATATTTTCATTCAGTTCAATATATACATTGATTCAATCATAAAAAGTTGATTTCAAACAAAAGTTTTATCAATGTTCCTATTGGAATTTGATTTTTTTTTTTCTAGTTATAGAATACATTTAAAAAGATCTTGATTTGAACATCATAATTTTCAAGTTTTTATTCATGTCAAACAAATTTTTTTTTAAAAGGAACAATGTTGAAAGTTTTGTCAGAGATCAACTTTTTATGATTGAATCAATGTTTATATATGTATTAAACTGAATGAAAATATATTATTAATATAACATAAATCAACGCTAACATGTATAACCCCGCCACATTCTGTATATATGTGCCTGTCCCAAGTCAGGAGCCTGTAATTCAGTGGTTGTCGTTTGTTTATGTGTTACATATTTGTTTTTCGTTCAATTTTTTGTACATAAATTTGGTCTCTTGTGGAGAGTTGTCTCATTGGCAATCACACCGCATCTTCTTTTTTATGTTTGATTAATGTTTCAACTTTGCATCACTGTTTACATTTAACCGATTGAAAATATATTATCAATATTGAATAAATATAACATCACATTCAGTTTTGAGTATAAAACTTGGATGGAGAGTTGGCTCATTGGCACCCATACCACATCTTCCTATATCTATTTTCCTCTATTTACAAGATTTTTTTTTTACTCAGGTAAATTAAACAATGAGTGATAGATTTCTCTTAGAAGAAATTTAAAGGTCTCAGTGAAAAAACTAGCTGGAGAACAATAGCTATTGTATTTATTCAATAGGACAGGTGAACTTACAAAAGTTTAAATACCTGGTCAAGATAGAGATGGCACTGTGGAAAACTTTCATTGGGTTCGCAATAAATTTACTTTTCCCCAAAGAACATGGTTTTGGGTTCACCTAGCAAAAGTATTGCAAATCGCTTGAACTTCTTTGTCAGTATATCAAAAACTCCTTTGTCATAATTCTTGAAACGTAACACTACAATCGATGCTGATATGAAGATCATAGCAAAGAGTTGCTATTACATTTAATAGATTGATGGATCTGATGCAAGCTTTTAGTAAATATGAAATAATTTATCGGTAGATATCTTAAAGGGTATCGGCTATTACAAAAATCGTAGTCCTGACGTTGTTTTGCAATACAAAATCAAATCAATGTTCATTAAGTGAATTTATGATGACAGTTGTGTTCTTCTAATATATTAATGTTTGTTTCCAAGTATATCTTATTGCGTGTTCTCGTGTTCTTCCTTATCAGGATTAGGTTGTTAAGGAGGTTGATTGATCAGGTTGTTAAGACGGTTGATTGATCAGGTTGGTAAGGAAGTGTTGTGTTTGAGAAGCTTAATCATTCTGATCATTCAGCATACCTCCGTACATTAACACCTACTGCATTTATCTAATTTTTTTTTGTCTTTAAAAAAATCATCAGAATTATGGAAAATGGCGAAGCACGATTTTGTTTATTTTAAGAATCAATATTATTCGAACATTGTCATATATTTCCCGTCGTATAGTAGTTGTCAAATTTATAGTGTAGAATATACATAGATGGGATTATAATACAAAATATTCAAAAGACACCACGAGGGCAACATACGCTCTTCAACAAAAGACCGGTATCTATACAATATATCACCAGAAATAAGGAGCTATGAATATAGTGAACAGAGACTGCCAGAGACCTGCCATCAACACAAAATTCTCCAAAAGTCAAACACTTTAGATTGAACAAAAGGCAATCAATGACGAAGGTCTTGACTTTGACTCGTAAATATATGAACATGTAACGGGATTCAACTAGATTAAAGGGGTCACAACCCTCTTTTGATTTCAATGAAAGATATAAAAAAAAGATACATACAAAAACGTAGAATAGATTTCAATACAGAAAAGGCCTTAACCGCTATAGTGACAGTATCATAGATAAAAACATACAAGCAACACAAAACAAAACAAACAATAACGTGTTAACAATTGAAATGTAATATAATTACCAATGAGACAGAAAGCCACCAAAGACCAAGGGACAAGGATGTAATCAAATACAAATCACCGCACGGCATTCGGTTGAAAGAAAAATCCATACCGTACGCTATGCTTTAAAAGGTTCCGGTATAACAAATGTAAATAAACAATTAATAAGAAAACTAACAGCATGGTTTAAATTTATAACGTACGAAAAACAAGAAAGACACCAACCAACGATAACCTCTTGGCTGAATGTTCCTGGCTTGGGGCTGGGACATACAGAATCGGGCGTGGTTAAACGTGGTTATGAGCTCTATCCTTTCCCTAACATGGACCGGTGGTGTAACAAAACAACATCAGAATAAACCACTTTAACTAATAATCAACCATTACACATCTAACGAAATAAGTGTAAAAAGTTATATAACAAAAATACCGAGCTCCAAGGAAAATTCAAAACGGAAAGTCCCTTATCAAATGGCAAAATCAAAAGCTCAAACACATCAAACGAATGGAAAACAACTGTCATTTTCCTGACTTAGAACAGACATTTTCTTATGTAGAATATGGTGGATTAAAACTGGTTTTATAGCTAGCTAAAACCTCTCACTTGTATGACAGTTGCATAAAATTCCATTATATTGACAACAATGTGTGAACAAAACAAACAGTCATAATAGGTAAAAATGTCAAAATTGGGGCACAGCAGTCAACATTGTGTTATAATCTTAATCACTATAAAAACAAACAACTATGTCAACAAAGAAAAACAAAATGGCTGATAGACAAAACACACAAGCAAAAATGAAAGACAAGAATATAAAAAATGACCAGCGCACAATAACACAATGGCGGGATTTATAAATACCGAGCTAAGCCATAAAGATATTACAAAAAATGGACTAAACAGTAAAGGTTAATAATATGCAAAAATGGGTGGATAGTTGTTTCATTGGCAATCATAACACATCTCTATTTTCATAAAGACACATAAAAGAATACTATAACACGTAATGAAGATGATAAACACCGTCAGTACCTTTAATCTATACTTCAGGACCATCATGTATTATTTGCGAAGTTGATACGGAATATTTATCAACAAGGTCTTGGTATATTCCGATGAACTTTTTTTAGACGTCATGGATGAAAAAAAGCATGACCTTGTACAATACAAAAATAAAGTATCGATAGGATTGAGGACCATACAACAGTATAAACAAAAAGACCCAACTCCAATGTAAATTCAGTAAGGATTGCATAAAACCTTACAAAATCAAACGTTAGACTATATCAGAAAACTGAACGAATGGAAAATAACAGTAATTCCTGACTTTGTACAGGCATTTTGCGAAGAAAACGGTGGGTCAAACCTGCTTTTATAGCCAATTTAACCTCCCACTTGTAGAAAAGTTGTTTATAGGCTGTTTGATCCCGATTATTGTCACATCAATTGACATCCAAGTGGGATGTTAAGCTAGTTATCTAACCAGGTTCAACCAACCATTTTCTTCGGAAAATATCTGTACCAAATCAGGAATATGGCATTTGATCTTCACATGTTCCGTTGATTGATAGCGTTTGATTTTGTCAGTTTTTATGGACTTCCACTTTTTGAATTTGCCTTTGTGTTCGGTATTTTAGTTATACCTTTTTTCCAATAATGAGGAAGTATACGCCAAGAAAATCCCCTATTCCGTATACATATATAAAGAAAGACCGTTGATAGTATTAGTTACATAGTGTGTTATTGACCTAATACGATATATATTGGGTCAGAAAATTCCATATGTGTGAGAGCGAAGCGAAGCTCTCACCCCATATGGAATTTATTGACCCCATATATATCGTATTAGGTCACTAACACAACGTGTAACGAATTTATCTTACCGACTATCTTCACATGTGGTATTTAGACTAGCGGCCTATCAAACTGATTAAGTCGTCAATACTTAGTATCAAGAACCTACTTCCATTTGTCTATACAAAAAACAAATGCCAACAATAACAAATTGTTAGCTTTAAATTTGTTTTAT